GCTGTCTGATGGTCTCATATAAATGGCCAGTGGGGGCAAGAGGGTTTGAACCTGGGACCTCTGTATTGAATGCCACAGAGTAGATTTAAGTCATCCTTTCCTAAAAATCTTCAAAACCAGACTACAAAGAGAAACAGCAGAGCTGCAATTCATTCGCAGATTAAACAGGATCAAATTAGGACTGAATAAGGATTTAAAATGATTATCTCACTACAAAGGTAATTTTCTTTCTCTTGATATTCACACCTCCCCATCAAATGCTGGGAGTGAATCACATCCACACTGAGGGTATGTCTACACTAGCCACTCCAGTTCGAACTAGGGTGGCTAATATAGTCATTCGAACTTGGAAATGAAGCCCGGGACTAAATATCCCGGGCTTTATTTGCATGTTTCCGGGCGCCGCCATTTTTAAATGCCTGGTAGTTCGGACTCCCTGCCCGCGGCTACACCGGTAGTTTGAACTAAAGCCCCTAATTCGGACGACTGTTACTCCTCCTGCAATGAGGAGAAACAGTAGTCCGAATTAGGGGCTTTAGTTCGAACTACCTAGCCCGTGCCGCGTATAGCCGCGGGCACAAAGTCCGAACTACCGGGCATTTAAAAATGGCAGCACCCAGGAACATGCAAATAAAGGCCCGGGATATTTTAATCCCGGGCTTCATTTGCAAATTTGAATTACTACATTAGCCACCCTAGTTCGAACTAGGTGGCTAGTGTAGACATACCCTGACTGAATTGATCTTGTTAACACTGGTCCCACAGTTGATAAGTAAGTCCCTTCTTTTGATATGCTAGTACATAAATATATCCTTACCTCTGTGATTTTCATTCCATGCATCTTACTCACAAAAGCTTATGCCCAAATAAATATGTAAGGGTATGTCTACACTACCCTCCTAGTTCGAACTAGGAGGGTAATGTAGGCATACCGCACTTGCAAATGAAGCCCGGGATTTGAATTTCCCGGGGTTCATTTGCATAAGCGGGGAGCCGCCATTTTTAAAACCCCGCTGGTTCGAACCCCGTGCAGCGCGGCTACACGGGGCACGAACTAGGTAGTTCGAACTAGGCTTCCTAGTTCAAACTACCGTTACTCCTCGTACCTTTGGTATCCCGAAATAGCTGTGCAGTGTAGATGTACCCTTAGAGAGGTGACTAAACTAGACAGATTGAGTGTTTTCACTTCCATCCTCTTGTGGGAATCTGTCTAGGCCACTAGTTCATTTTACTGCCTGCCTTGGAAAAGTGGTGAAGATAATGGAACTTTTTTGCTTCTCTGGCCATACTGAAAACAAAATGTTTTGAATTTGTGGTTAAGTTGATTTTTTTTGTAAAGAGTAGCTCGACTTGGAACAAAATGTTTGGTTTGATTCCCATTAAAAAATACATTTGGAAGAAATTTCTCAATGAAAAGTAGGTTAGAATCCCCAACTTGAAATGGGTGGAACAGGTGGAAATGAAACGTTTGGACTCATATGGAATGTCGTGGTTGTTTCTTTTTCCTTGATGCAAACAGTTCAGTGAAACTGACATGAATTCGCCAAATGTTCATTGGTGGTGCCAAATCTATGGAGCTTGGGCTGAAAATATAT